ATGTTCAGAACATGGGTTCCACGTCGGCCGTATATGCCGGTTGAGACCTACGGCTATGGAAAATGACCGTTCCTAGATCTGACCTAACGGTCATTTTGCACGCCCAGAAAGAGGGTCTTTTTTTAAAAAAAAAAAAAAATTTCAAACATGACTACGATCGACCTTCACTGTGTAACTATACAAGAATGCACGTCGTCTAGAAGCCAATCTCGTGATTGGTGTTATAGAGTTGTATTATAGTCGTCAACAGATTATACTGAGTGTTGTGTTGATAGTTAATGATGAGTGTCTGGTAGTAGAGCAATAAATGTTAATTGATAAGTGGGAAACTAATCAACGGCGTGAAGCGGCCCATTATTAATCATTCACGTATTGTCCACGTGTCATAAGAATTTTCAACAACAAAGCCGTTTGCCGCTATTACGGTCAGACACAATGTAAACGAGATTATGATGATCTTCGAAAAAGGGCAATTGATATGAAGTATTGCTCTTCGAATCCAACCAACTGTCATATCAAATAGAAACAGCATAGAAATCCTCAACAACATACGCGTTGGAAGAAAAATGCATTTAAAAATAAAATGTTTATAGCGGTATTACGGCCTTGTGGAAATTGTTGAAATAAAATCTAGAGATTAGTTATCTTGCTTACCGAACAATTAAGAAAAATACGTATTCCAATTCTATTGTGCAGCAATATTGATAATTCCACGTGTAGAAGAAATGTCGTGTATATACGGTTACTCTTATACACGACCATATTCTAGGGGGCGCTAGTGTCGCTAGCCGTGAAGTTAGTTATCCGTAAGTCATTTAGTTATACATTATTAGGATTTACGTCACAATTCTGCGGCCCGTAATAGATGGTCTAAAACCCAAAAAATGTGAGATATATGCCATGGATAATTATATATTTATCTTCATTTCAAAGTTATTGTATTACAACTCAAAATTATCCAGGCCAGTGTGTTTTCTATAGAGCACGTGTTAATTACGTGTGAGCTACTGAAATGGTTTTTCTCCGGCCAATTCAACTATTTCGTTATTTAAGTAGCCAAAACGGAATATTTAATTATCATGAGCCTTACTAATATTTCATTTTTAAGTCAAATATATTTTTTTTGTGCACCCCATGGTGACAAAGTAGTATAGACACGTGAATTCACAATACCCTACCATGAATAAAAAACATGAAATATAAATTTACTTTGAAAAATTTTCGTGCGTTATCAAAAATGACCGGCAGTGAAAATTTTGAAGTGGAAGCCCTGGTTCAGAATAAAGTAATTTGACTGAAATTTTCAATATATTCTTCTTTCATCGTCTATTTTGGAACTGTTATAGCAAGAATGGCTAACTCCTTATAAAAATCTCTCATAATGTATCTTTAATATATGACAGTTGGTTGGATATGAAGAGGAGTATTTCGTATCAATTGCCCTTTTTTCAAAGATCATAATAATCTTGTTTACATCGTGGGTGACCGTAATAGCGGTAAATGGCTTTGTTATAGAAAATTCTTATGAAACGTGGACAATATGTGAGTGTTCAAATAGTGAATGATTAACAGTCGACCGCTTCACACCATTAATAAGATTCCCACATATCAATTAACTTTTATTTTTCTACTACCAGACACTCATCATTAATTATCAACACAAAACTCAGTATAATCTGTTGACGACTATGTATACAACTCTATAACACCAATCACGAGATTATGTAGCTTCTATATGTGTGCATTATTCTGTACTGGCCGTACAAGTGTATAGTTCACTGTAACCCAGGTATCATTTAATCTTGTGTATCTAGCACTAATTTCTTTCACATTCGTTTAATATCAAATCTTTAAAGTTTAAAAAATCGTTTAAAATTACCAAAAATCATCTTGTTTCATTTCGTAAATCGGCAGCTACCGACTAATTATGTAAAATATATCAAACTTCGAGCATAGTTTTCATCACCAATACTACGATCAGACTAAGCTATAGAGAGAAGAGGAAAGACACAGGAGTCACATTTTCCAGATGCATGACCAATATTTCCATGGATTTATTAGGCCTGGATAATGAACATTGTTTTGTAAAATGCAGCATAGAAATGACATGTTTGCATTTTTGGAGTAACCATGAAAGGTTTTCTTATTGTCAACTGAATTTTGAAACACAAATTGTTGAAATTTAAGGAACAATATCTGATGGCTGCCAGGCAGATTACGCCCACACACATTTTGTACTAGATGGATAGAGAACAATTAAGCTGAACAAAAACCAATTTTTTTACAATCAAGGGACATTATTCAAGAAGTTACGATCCGATATGCGCGAATATCGACAGGAACCAAGACTTTTGGGTTATAAAGATATATTTCAAGTTTCATCAAAATTGTGACTTCAAGAGGGTCCACAACCATGATATATCATATATTTACACTATTTGCGTACGCCATTTTGTCCGACAGTTTTAGTCTGATTTTCAGGAAATTCGAACTAAAGCGTCATTAGGGTGTAACAGTGATATATTCAATCATTTTTTTAAATCAAATAATAATTGTGACCTCTAGAGGGACCACAAGCTAAAAACGCGATTTTTCGAAAAATCAGGGGCAACAATTCAGGAAGTTAAACCAATATGCACAAATTTCGAAAGGAACCAAGATCTTTGGGCTATAAACATGCATTTTAAGTTTCATCAAAAAAACATGCCTGTGTAATAGTGTCTATATCATGGGTTCCATGTCGGCCGTATATGCCGGTCAAAATCTAGGGCTATGGAAAATGGCCGTAACTAGATCTGACCCATGGTCATTTTGCACGCCAGAAAAATCACCCATTTTCAAACATGGCTATGATCAACTTCCACTATCACTGTAACCCAGGTATCATTTAATCTTGTGTATCTAGCACTAATTTCTTTAGCATTTGTTTAATATCCAATGTTTGTTTCAAAATTCATAAAAATTGTTTAAAATCACCATAAATCATTTAATTTGTACTTCTGTCCAGTTTAAAGCTGACCATTCAATTTTGATAATGAGTGTTCAATTTACAAGTATTTAATTTCCTGACCACTGTTTGATAAATTTTACATAATTAGTCAAAAGCTGCCGATTTACGAAATGAAAGTTTGACATCGCAAGCTTCTATCAATCTGATATTCTGCCTGATAAAACATGATTAAATACTATAGTGAATGTTCAGAACAGGATGAATGAATAACATTTAATTACATGCATTTTTAATTAATTATGCATGATTTTAAACTCAATAACGGCTATGTAACTAAGGTAGACAAAATTACGCCAAGTTCTTCATTGCCATGGAGTAATTCAGACCATGTGACATCAACATGAAATATGTCGTCTACAGCTGGAATGCGTTTGGCACCCGTAAAGGATCTTAATGATTGGTGTTGATAATACCATCCACAATACAATTCATGTCATGTGGCATCAGTTTTGTTTTTGTTTTTTGTGACGATGGAACATGTACCCTATATGTATTGAATACTGAAGCGTTTCTCGATTGAATTTAAGAGTTTAGACTACTTTTTTATACATTTCACCGATGTGGTTACTTGTATGTTGAATTTTACTACATATGCTCACATTCGTATTTCGTGTAGCATATAGCAGATCATGACTCATGCTGGCATTGCACAATGGGTTCTTTGGCTTGTATTCCTAATTGTTTTCAAATTTGAGTGAAGTCTGTGTCACTACAGACCCGAGTCTGTACATCGCAGGGGACGCTTACGGCTAGCCCCCGGATCCATTTACTTTTTTTGAATTTTTTTTTAATTGTCATTGCAAAATGACAATAAATGCCAAAATTTAATAATACCATAGCTACCGTATGCCTACTGTAAATAGGCTGTGATGGTAAATAAAAAGTAAACTGTTATGTTTAATTAATATTGAGTATTCATGATAGATTGTTGTTGAACCTCAAATTAACAAAACTGGTAATCAAAATTTTGATTTGATTAGCAAAAATTTATTGTCCCCCGCCTTTCGAAGAAAGCAGGGGACTAGTAAAATGGGTTCGTCCGTCTACTGTCTGTCTGTCCATCACACTTTTTGGGACACAATAACTCTCCTTCTAATTGAGCTAGAATGTTCAAACTTGGTGTAGGTGTTTATTAGGCCAATGCCTTGACAGAGTTTGAAGATGAGCATTTTTGGCTTAGGGTAAGCAGAGATAAGCAATTTGATTGGTTGATGCTTTGGGACACAATAACTGTAGTTCTAATTAAGTGGACGGTTTGGGACAAGATAATCTTGATTCTATCTGATAGAGAGTGACGAAACTTAGTGAAAAAAATAAATGTGCAATTAATTAATATTTGTCATCTATTTATTTTGCAATTTGGCGGGGGACATCAGCCTTGCTGTTGGCTTGTTAAAACTATTTTGCACTGCTAATCAATTGTCAACAGTTATTTTGTTCCCAGGCTGCAGTTGAGACAAAGCTGCTGTATGGGTGTATTTAACGCTTTGTGTGGCTATCTTTTATGTGTGGGACACTTACTATTACAGCACCAATATACTGAAGTTAGAAATTTGTTTTAATTAAATCCTGTTAACCTTTGTAATAATCATAAAATCAGAGGCGGATCCTCTGATATCAGCCAAATAGCTCTTGGAATGGCTACAGATGCAAGGAAATGAAAGATAATTTTTTAGCAGGGATCCCCCCCCCCCCCAACCCCCCTCTCAGCGGCGTGCCCTGTCTCCGTGGTCAGTGCCCTCATTTTGCGGCGCCCCCCCCCCCTTTTCAAAATTCCTAGATCCGCCCCTGAAAATGGTTGTTTTGATTTATTTACCCTTACTTACCTATATAAATATATATTTGTACATGCACAGTATCTGGGGCGAAAAGAGGGATCTTCGCTTAGAGGGTTTGTGAAAAGAACATGGCATTGGCCTCTGTATTGTTAATTAGCATAAAGCAGTAAATGTATATAATGTATAGTGAACAATCCCAATTTTATTTTCAGAATTTGACGGATATACTCAAATTAGAAACTGGAACCATGTCTGGCAGTAGTCAACTTGAAAGTGAGCAGAAGTTATTAAATATTGAAGATCAACAAGTCCAGCAAATAGAGAGTATCCAAAAACGGCTTATGATATTAAATTTATTAGCTACACTCTCTAATTCTCTAGATTCATCTTGTATGCAAAGTAATGAACAAATATTAAAATTTGTGAAGGTATGTTTTAATTGCTGAATATATGTCATATAAGACGGGGAAGATGCACAGTGTGTAGAACTGATCTCTGATTATTGACTAACTGGGTTCTATATTAGAATATCCTTAAATTAAGTAGAATATGTTAATTGTGGTTACTATTCATGGAAACTTGTGAGAAATATACGTGTTGTCAGTAGTCAATTAAATCTGCCAGTACTTGCACAGTGCGTTAGTATTCCTATAAAATGGTCAGTAATAATGATAAGGTGAGTATTTAAGTTAATCGGTAAGTATTCCTCACTTATGTGAGTATGTAAAAATAATGGAGTAATTAAACATACGTGAGTTAATCCGAACATATCGCTAGTCAGGCATGTGTGGGAGAAACTGCCAAACCCGCGACTAATGAAGAAAGCGTCACTATTGAGGCTACTGTTCACTATCTATATGAAACTGCCAGTTATCTTTGATCTGCGTTTGTAACTGGAACCAACGTCAGTAGAGCGTGAAATCACTAACTATATAAATTTCGGGTGAGTTTTTAATAAGTGATTAGTATCGGTTAACCCTGTCAACTCATCCCTTCTTAAAACTAATAAGATCGATTTCCGGCGATCGATAAATTCATCACGTCATATCCGAAAAAGTATTCATAGTGAAGGAATATAATTTATATCATTCGAAAGCCACAAAAATTCCCTTTGAAATTAGACTAACGAGTGACTATTCAACATAGAAGTAGTCTGGAATCTAGCAAAGATGGATAACTCTCTGAGCGTAAACAAATGACGTTGTGTTATTTATATATAGCAGAAGTCCTATTATTTTGTGTACTTATAGCCGTAAAAATTTAGTTTATTGTGTCTGAAAGAGAAAGTATTAAACTAAGAATATAAGTGTTGTTAAGTTTTACATTGATTAGACACGTCTGATCTTGAATATGTGAGCGATGCCGATGAAGTTCAAAGAGCAAAGAGGTGACCTAGATTCGGCCGACAAAGAATTTGTCAACAAGAGAATCGATCCCGATTAGATGAGTGAGTTTTGTTTACTAATTTACTTTTGACATCTGAAACAAATGTAAGCTTGATATAATTATTTAATTGCAGATTCTATGCCCATTTCTAGCATGAAATATCTATTTAGCATCGAATTATCGGTAAATTATCCCAAATATGTAGGCCTAAACTGTAATGGCATTTTGACAGCTAGTCGGCCACGTCATATGTACGTATGGCTGGACTTGATGAAGAGCAGATGTTTTCTATTTCAATTAGACTATTGACATGAAATGTAGAAACCCACGTTTTGTATTAAATTTCAAAGGCTTGGTCACTAATTATTGTCAGTTTGCGTTTGTTTTCTTTCGTTCCATCTAGGGGTTGGGCCGTTGTTGGGACTAGGCTTAGGCTAAACCACTACTGTATTATAAGTTATATCTCTGTATATCATAAATATCATAAATGCCAAATGAAAGCTTGCCTGACTAGCCTTCTGTGTTCTACATGTACCCTATGTTGATCAAAGTGTCTTATTTAATTTTATTTTATTTTTTTAGGCCTTCAACCTCAGCTGAAGATACTACACGATAATGATAGTTTTAGGCCTAATGGTACTGATACAAGCACTGATTTGGATGAGTGAGTTTTCTTTGTTATGTATAAACTCAAACGTCTAAATGCTCTACAGCTTTAGATTGTATGCCTAGATCTACTAGGATAAAATATTGATTTATGATCTTCCTCTTTCCAATTAACCGACGTGGTTTCTCCTTGTCAGTGGTGCAGAACGGAGGGCTTGACAAGGACAGCTGTCTAGTCCTTCGGATGAGATGAAAAACCGAGGTCCCGTGTATACATTGGAATGCACGTAAAAGATTCCTTGGCAGTTGGAATTCGATATAAGAGTAGGCGATAGTGCCGCTGCCCGGGCAAAATTTCCCTCATAGCACACTGTATAGGAGCAGAACAGTAGGACGTTAAACCCCATTTCATTTCATTTCATTTCTTTCCAATTATTTTACCAAAGGTTACTCATTTTACTGAATATTAGCACAGAAGAATGAAAGCATGAACAGTGTATAGACACAGAGCCCAATATACCAAAGTTTACTCCGAGACCTGGAGGGAACTGGAGTTTTGTGAGTTGGCAGTTGGCACAATGGAACTTGATCTGTTTGAAGGGTGAAAACTGGATATTTTTTTGTCATTGCTGTATTTATTGTTAATAATATAATTATTGATTGTTGCATGAATTTCCTAGACCTGTGTACATGTATCTACTTGATTGTATGTATTCCTTCTGAATTTTTCTTATCAGCCTTGTGGCTACTTTCATATTTTGGTGCAAAAAGTGCTATTGTCTTTGGGATGGTGTTTATATAATTACTTTATGGCAAATGCTGTAGTATTTTGCATAATAGCAGCTGTGGGTAACATTTTAACAGCAAAAGAATAAAAATACTAATTTTGGGGGCATAAGTGAGTATGTCAAGTCAAAGATCAATAGTGGGTTCAAAGGTCAATAATAGATCAAAGTCAAAGGTCATTTGCATAATTACTTAATTATGTCTTTATTTTTTGTCCTATTAAAATGGGTTCGTCCGTCTGTCTGTCCGTCACACTTTTTGGGAAACAATAACTCTCTTTCTAATTGAGCTAGAATGTTCAAACTTGGTGTAGGTGTTTATTAGGCCAATACCTTGATGGAGTTCAAAGATGAGCATTTTCTGCTTAGGGTAAGCAGAGATAAGCAATTTGATTGGTTGATGCTTTGGGACACGACTTTAGTTCTAATTAAGTGATAGTGATGAAACTTGGTGTATAGTTGCATTACATCAATACCTTGATTAAGTTCGATAATGAGCATGTTCTGCTCAGGGTAAGCAGAGCGATAAGCAATTTGATTGGTCGAGACTTTAGAACACAATAACTCTCCTTCTAATTGAGGTAGAATGTTCAAACTTCCCCGACAGCACACCACATTTGGCACAGATATGGCCCATATCTGGCAACCGATTTTTGATGTATTTGTCAATGGTGGAATTACTATTTTTAATGAATAATGGATTTAAAGAAGATACATTATACCGATTTCAAATTGTATAATTTAATTACCTGGGACGTGAATTGCCGATTTTTGATGTATTTGTCAATGGTGGAATTACTATTTTTAATGGATAATAATACTTACGACATGGTAACGTGAGCATCTATGGGTGTGCATTTTTTTTTTATATTCACCTTTTTTATTTGTATTTCATATGTAAATAATCGTAATCAAAATGAAATGATCGGATAAACAGCTCGCGGGAAATTAAACGGTTTATCTAATAGTTAAACAACGTAGATAAATTAACTGGGTGTTGATCTTATATACTCATCTCGGGAAATTAAACTTCTCATCTAATAAGTAAACATAGTAGATAAGTGAACGGGTCGTCCATTTATAAACCCCTCTCGGAGAATTTACCATTAAATTAAACCATAGTACTAACTAAGCCATTTTTATATGCCCACATTTTCATGTGGACGTATATTGTCGTTGCCCCTGTCAGTCCATCCGTTCATAGAGTGGTTCAATGGTCAATTATTTGTCCTTATATAAACATGCACAGTTATCTGCCTGACTGCACTGTCCGTGAGATTTTCTGAAGTGAGCGGAATGTAGTTTCGCGCACGTGAATTTTGATGTCGAAGCAAATATACATCATAAATAGCATTCCACGTGGTATTATACAAACATGTATTGGTATATAAAGCCAAGTAAAAATACACTCATTACGCGCTTCGACTTTCGTGTTTATTTAATAGCGAACGTGAGCAAACATTTCTATTGCACTCTTCGAGTTAATTTTTGATTTGGGCGATTTCGGTACAGAGCTAGCTGTAATAGCTTTGTTTCATTTCTAACTTTTTAATCCATGAGCGTGGCAAGATAAACTCATTACAACATTTTGGGATTACTTTTATAAAGAAATGATTCGCATGAAGGTTAATAATGAAAATAAAAAAACAATTGGCAGGTAAAAAAAATGGTTGCAAGTCCAAACCTTTTAGGAAGAATGAAGTAATTTTTATGGTGTCGAAAGATACACAGCAGAATGTCATAATTTGGTCATGGAACTTAAAAATCTAAACGTTTCGAATGGTAACATAGCAGCGCATATAACCGCATGTTTGGCTGTCGCGGGACTAACATCTAACTACACTCCTTCAAAATCTACAGTTAAAAGAATATCATGTGAGCGTGTCGGTGTATCTTTAAAACATGTTTCGGAAACCTTAAAGTCGGTGAAAAATACCACCCTTTATACTGACGAAACTACAAAATTTAAATAGGTTGTGTGTACAGGCGATTACAATTAATAGATTAATTAATCATCTTTGGGAAACTTGTATTTCTGTGGTATAATAGCTGACATGATAACATTGATTGTTATAAAAATATCTGAACAGACAGATATATGGTTATACTGTAAAAGTACATGTATATGATTTAATGATGTTGCAAAAGACAACATTCGGTAGCAAATGCAGCTCTAACATACAGACATACTCATTCAGAGGGCATTGGTCACGATGAAATGTGTTTTGGTAAATGTTATTGAGCACTTTGAATGCCTGTATAAATGAATGCGACATAGAACAGATAACATAAATATTCGTGATAACATTGATTGTTATAAAAATATCTGAACAGACAGATATATGTATATATGTATATGATTTAATGATGTTGCAAAAGACAACATTCGGTAGAAAATGCAGCTCTAACATACAGATATACTCATTCAGAGGGCATTGGTCACGATGAAATGTGTTTTGGTAAATGTTATTGAGCGCTTTGAATGCCTGTATAAATGAATGCGACATAGAACAGATAACATAAATATTCGTGTGTAAATGCTACCATACCACACGAGAGAACGTGGTCCTAATTTTGAATTTTTTGTTAATATAAATTATCTTTTATGTTGTATTTACCCCTCCACACTATACCAAATGCGAATTCAAATCTCCCTGAATCTCGATCGTTATTTTATTTGTAATACTTATAGAATATCGTCCCCATACTTTATCCTACAATGTGTTCTTTTTTCATAACAGACATCATATGGCACTATATAGTTATTTATCTGTGGGACAAAAAATAAAGTGTTAAATTAATAGATTTATAGAGGTCTTTATTCCTCACTCTCCGCATTACAATATGCCATTATATTTTCCTCGTACTTTATCCGACAATTTATTTTTCATAACAAACATCATACTGCACAATATTTTTTTATCTTTGGGACTAACATTAAACTGTTACATTATTAGATTTATAGACGTCTCTCTCCCTCTCTCTTTCGCTCCCGCTGTGTAACATGCCATTATAAACAGACCCGGTGTCTGTGGGTATACAGAAATGAAATCACTGCTCTTTTTAATACATGCATTAGGCTAATCTTTAAGCAATTCATGTCAAACGTCGATCTTTTCATATCCAGCTAAACTTGTATTTTAACTTCCACTGTAGCATTATAAACAGTTAATATTAAGACATTTGAAGGCGTGGGTATATTGTTAAAACAACTAAGCGTTTGCACATGCGCACACATGTCAAATTCAGTCGTCCATCAAGTGTATTCCGTTTCTTCACAGCAAGGAAATAAACAATGTTTTCTGACTGCGATAAATGAATTTCGTTTCCCGGGAGTACGATTCAGTTTTATGGCTACCAAGGGACATAACTCTTATTCTCACCAAGAGTTATCTGCCTTGATTATGGAAGCCGGGTAGATTTTGAAGCATTTATAACATTATTTCTAAATTGTTATATCCTCAAAAATCCAATGTGGTCAAACTTCCATTGTTGATGAATGAAGTTTTTATGGTAAGTCTTATCATGTAATGTTAAAATAATCCCAAAATAGTGTCTGTTTTTTGTTAAAAAAAATTGAGTATAAACCACTCTACCGTTCGTCCACAATTGTTTGTGAACACTCTACAGGTCACAATTTTTATCCGATTTCCATGAAACTTGAAATATAGGTTTATTCCCCTCAGATCTCGGTTTCTTTCGATATTGGCATGTATTGGACTGTAACTTCATGGATTATGACCCCTGATTGCACGAAAAATCATGTTTTTAGCTTTTTATCCGATTTGGTTTAAACTTGAAATGTATGTTTATAACCCACAGATCTGTTTGATATTCGCACATATTGGACCATAACTTCCTGAATTATGGGCACTGATTGTACGAAAAATCGCGTTTTTAGCTTGTGGGCCCTATAGAAGTCACAATTTTTATCCGATTTCAAAAAATGTTTGAATATATCACCGTTACACTGTAATGTTTGATGAGTTTGATGGCATAGATTTAGGATCGGAAGGGCGTTGTCTGGGCCAATCAGCAAAGGAGTTGTGTGGACAGCATGACAACAGGCGGAGTTTATTTATATTTTTGGAGGGTTTTAAAACTCGATTATATTCGTTCAAAATCAATTCATCGACAATATTTTGATCATATTTATAAACTAGAGATGCCCCGCTTTACAACGATGCCAATTGTTATGCAAGAGGAATGACCGGTCGTCCCACTGCGAGCGAAGAAAAACAACTAATTTCGCTGAGAATTATAAGAAATAGGACAGATTTCAGAATACGGTACTCTTACAAAACATTCAAATACAGGTGTTTTAAAATGTTTTATTGCTATTTTGATCTTCTGTGTCGATAGACAATATATTTCTAAACTCATTTTTGTAAAAATCTCAATTTCGTTCAAAATCAATATTTTCACTTATTTTGTCTTTATCTCATTAATGATTCTCGCGCATTCCGACTCATTTAGATGCGGCCGGTCATAAATTATTCTAATGCGTATTTATTAACAACAAATTATATTATATCATATCAATGAAGACCGTGCGTTTATGTAGGTTCAAGAGTTTTTTTGAGAATCGTTCTTTCGTTCGCTGAGTTTTACGCCCACCTGATATCGTAGACAAGTTATTGTGTGTGAGTTAGTTCTATTTTACGTCCGCTTCCACTGAGGTGAATTATTGTGAATCAAATTGCCAAGTATAAGTTCAATAATAATAAACATAACAGAATGAAACATTTCAGACAAAGAACGAATAGTAATAATAATAACAAAAGTCAAACATATAGCTGTTATACATATTTGACATCAGCGAAACATACTACAGATTTTGATAATACAATTAAATAAAAATGAATTAGAAATATATACATTACTTACATAAATCATTCAGTCAATGGACATGAATAAGGTTTGTAAACTGTTTGATTGGTTCGTAGACTATAGCTACAATCAAGGTGGAAACCCTATGGATTAACCCATGGTAGAGTAGAACAGAACGAGTACACCGGGGATACTGAGGATGATCCACATGATGGTGAGCTTTTTTCTATGTATCTGGAACTGAATCGGGACTTCGAACAAGAATTGACATTCTTCAAGCGCCAGTTTTCGACTTGTATAGAAGTGTTCCTCATTATGTCTCCTGAAGTGAGGCAGATGTTCCCTTCTGTCGAAGCTCTTCTCATCTCACACTGCTGAACCCTGCTAGTTCCTGCTCAGATGGGCGATCCTTCAGCACTCTGCGCTGTATCAAAACTTGGCTGCGCAACTCCATGACGCAAAACCGACTGAACCACTTGAGGGCATGTGTGGTGCATAATGACCCCCTTCATGTCGCCAAGATATTCAAAGAGAACAGTCCTAATCGTAGAACAATTAACTTAACTTCATGAACAATTAATATTTATGCAGCTTTGATGTAGGTAGTCAATTTTTCCATATTGTCATCATATTACCCCTAGTTACAGCCTTCATCGAAATAACACTGGTACAGTAAACTGTTCGTAATTATTTATTTCGTTTGGTAATCAAATGTTTCAGGTTCCAGGGTTCGTCCGCCCCCCCCCCCCAAAAAAAGTTAAGACAAATCCACGCCCTTGTACGCAAATAGTGTAAACATCTGGTAAATCAATGTTGTGGACCCTCTAGAGGTCACAATTTTGATTGATTTCGATGAAACGTGAAATACATGTTTATAACGCAAAGATATTGGTTCATATTTGCGCATATTGGATCATAACTTGCTGAATTATGGCCCTTGTTTGAACAATTTTTATCCGATTTAAAAAAAACGTGTGAATATATCACCATTACCCACTAAGATCTTCCTTTTGATAATTGCGGATACCAAAACATAACTTCCTGGATTATGGCCCCTGACTTCCATTGTTGATGAATGAAGTTTTTATGGTAAGTCTTATCATATAATGTTAAAATTATCCCGAAGTAGTGTCTGTTTGTTGTTAATAAAAATTGAGTATGAATCACTCTCCTGTTCGTCCACAATTGTTTGTAAAAACTGTACAGGTCACAATTTTTATCTGATATCAATGAAACTTGAAATATAGGTTTATCACCCTAAGATCTCTGTTCCTTTCGATATTGGCATGTATCGGACTGTAACTTCATGGATTATGGCCCCTGATTGTACAAAAAATCACATTTTTAGCTTGTGAACACTGTAAAGGTCACAATTTTTTATACGCCCACATTGAAATGTGGTCGTATATTGTCGTCGCCCCCGTCCGTCCGTCCGTCCGTCCGTTGGTCCGTCCGTCCGTCCGATTGACTTTAAATTTATACACAGTGTTTAAGGTCATGAGACGAACAAGCCTATTGATTTTCAGCGATTTCCGATAATTACTGCCAGAGTTATGGCCCTTGATCACTTCAAAAAATCTTGTGGACGCTCTAGAGGCCAAAGTTAATATCCGATTGACTTTAAATTTATACACAGTGTTTAAGGTCATGAGACGAAGAAGCCTATTGATTTTCAGCGATTTTCCGATAATTACTGCCAGAGTTATTGCCCTTGATCACTTCAAAAAACCTTGTGGATGCTCTAAAGGCTTAAGTTAATATCTGATTGACTTTAAATTTATACACAGTGTTTGAGGTCACGAGACGAAGAATCCTATTGATTTTCAAAGATTTCTGATAATTACTGCCAAAGTTATGGCCCTTGATCACTTTGAAAAATCTTGTGGACGCTCTAGAGGCCAAAGTTAATATCCGATTGACTTCAGATTGATACACAGAGTTTGAGATCTTGAGACGAACAAGTATATTGATTTTCAATGAATTTTTATGACTTGGAACAGCTAAATCCATGATACAGTATTAAAAGTTTTGTATACAAAACGTTAGCATGGGGCAAAACTTTATAAAAACCAAACAAATTCTAATGGTTTTCTGTATTAGATTTTAGTGTATTATAAATGTTTCATTACTGAAAAAAGTAAAAATATGCGACAACTCTTGTTGACTGCTCGGACGATTTAGCTGCTGTGGGCGTATGTTTCGTTGCCTGGCAACCTATCTTATCCAATTTGGTTTAAACTTGAAATGTATGCTTATAGCCCAAAGATCTTGGTTTCTTTTGATATTCGCGCATATTGGATCGTAACTTCCTGAATTATGGCCCCTGATTGTACGAAAAATTAGCTTGTGGACCCTATAGAGGACATAATTTTTATCCGATTAAAAAAAAAACGTATTATTATATCACCGCTACACCCAAGGATGCCTGAGTTCGAATTTCGTGAAAATCGGCCCAAAACTGACAAAATGGCCGCCCCTCGTTCTCAAATAGCGTAAAAATATGGTATATCAAGGTTGTGGACCCTATAGAGGTCACAATTTTTATCCGATTTTGTTGAAACTTGAAATGTAAGTTTATAACCCAAAGATCTCGGTTCCTTTCGATATTCGCGCATATCGGACTGTAACTTCCAGAATTATGGCCCCTGATTGTACGAAAAATCGAGTTTTTAGCTTGTGGACCCTATAGAGGTCATAATTTTTATCCGATTAAAAAAAAACCTATTATTATATCACCGTTACACCCTAAGGACGGCTGAGTTTGAATTTGGTGAAAATCAGCCCAAAACTGACAGACAAAATGCCTGCCCCTCGTTCTCAAATAGCTTAAAAATATGGTATATCAAGGTTGTAGACCCTATAGAGGTCACAATTTTTATCCGATTTTGTTGAAACTTGAAATGTAAGTTTATAACCCAAAGATCTCGGTTCCTTTCGATATTCGCGCATATCGGACTGTAACTTCCAGAATTATGGCCCCTGATTGTACGAAAAATCGAGTTTTTAGCTTGTGGACCCTATAGAGGTCATAATTTTTATCCGATTAAAAAAAAACCTATTATTATATCACCGTTACACCCTAAGGACGGCTGAGTTTGAATTTGGTGAAAATCAGCCCAAAACTGACAGACAAAATGCCTGCCCCTCGTTCTCAAATAGCTTAAAAATATGGTATATCAAGGTTGTAGACCCTATAGAGGTCACAATTTTTATCCGATTTTGTTGAAACTTGAAATTTAAGTTTATAACCCAAAGATCTCTGTTCATTTCAATATTTGCGCACATTGAATTGTAATTTCCTGGATTATGGCCCTTGATTGTAGGGAAAATCACTTTCTTTTTAGCTTGTTCTCTATCCATCTCTCAAAAATGTGGGCGTATCCTGCTTGGCAGCCGCTGGTTATCTGATTTTGATGAAAGTTAAAAGATACCTTTATATTCTAAAAATCTCAGTCCCTTTTGATATTTGCGCATTTCAGACCATAACTTTCTGGATTGTGGCCATTGAGTGTACGAAAAATCGTTTTTGTTTTTTAGCTTGTGCTCTATCCATCTTTTGCAAAATCTTGGCGCATCCTGTCTGGCAGCCGCTGGTTGTAATTTTCAAACGATTTTTATCAATTATCAAACAATGTTTTGAAAGTAAACTATATGCATACTTTCTAGTGCTACAAACCCCGTTTTAAATGATACCAGTCTTACTGTGTAACATAACAATACACATTGCACCATTTTTCTTGGAGACACACGTTCAGTTGTCTTTTACACAATACGGCAGTTAACTGGCATCCTTTATTTCCCCTTAGTCAAGAATATTAATAAATAATTTATTAATAATAATTAATTCAGGATATAGTGGCGATTTAACAGAAAAGTCACAATTTAACTGATACTAATCCCTTATCAAAAAACTTACCAGAAATTTATATTGTTCATGATTTCACACTCTACTGATGTCAGTTCCAGTTAATGACGCAAAGATAACAGGCGGTTTCACCCAGATAGTGAACTATAGCCCAATAGTGACGCTTTCTTAATTAGTCACACATTTGCCAGTTTCTCCCGCAGTCGCCTGACTAGTGATATGTTCGGATTAACTCATGTTTGTTTAATTACTGACGTTATTTTTACTTACTGTCAAAAGTAAGGAATACTAACCAATTAACTTAAATACTCACCTTATGATTATTACTGACCATCTATAGGAATACTAACTTACAGTGCAAGTACTGACAGGTTTAAGCAACTACTGACAACTCGTATATTTCTCACGAGTTTCCATGAATAGTAACCACAGTTAACTTAAACTTATTCTGCGTGATTTGAGGATATTCTAACACAGAAGCCAGTTAGTAAAAGCTCAGAGATCAGTTCTACACACTATCCATCCAGCAGTGTAATCTGCCTTTCTTATTAAATATGTAACAAATTGCTTAGTAGTTTTTCGTGAATGTATTACGTACTTATAAATAATGCCTTTTATAGAAGTAAAAATATAAGAGATTGAGATATGACTATTATCAACTCATATTCGAAAAACTAAGCAACTTTTGTACTATATATAGTGGTTTGAAAAAAATCTTGTCTCTGTTTACAGGCTACATTAGAACGAGGCATTGAAGTATGGAAACATACAAAAGATGATGTGTTTCATTTATTTGAAAGTGAATCTCTGTCTATGGCCATGGGTTTACTTACTGCGATTATGACAAACCCCAGACAGGTTAGTACATAGATTTGAGCAGTCGTGTCGAAATTCTTAGTTCCTTTCTTTATGATAGTGTATGATATATAAGATAGTGAAGTAAATAAGATGATATTAACAAGAAAATAAGATGACATTAACATCAAAATAAATCAGGCTATATTAATATTGTATATGGTACAAATAGTTAGAATCTAGATTGATTGTTTTATAGACTACTACTGAAGAAGAAAAGATGAAGATGAATGAATTGCTGCCACTGTTAAATGAGTTATCAATACACCACCCAGAATCTGAGATTCAAGACATGGCTACAGATCTTAGGATTGCTATAGCAACAAGAGAAATAGTTGTATCTGATTTAATGAGGAACAAAACTGCTGAACACAAGCATTATGAAAAGGTAAAATTCATGAAGATCTTCATATTTTATACGGCCACATTCATAATGTGAACATATTATGCTGTTGCCCCTGTCTGTTTGTGTATGGGTCTAAGCATGTGTCTGTGTATCGCGTACAGGCTGCAATTCTTAACAGATCATCTTCAAACTTTGCATACCTATTCCCTATACCCTGAGACGCCCCTGGGGTGTAGGGAGTGATAAGAATATATCCTTCGTATGTCCTGCGTGTCGTAAAAAGCAACACATTGCTTCGGCCCACAATTCAGCTAGATGGGAGGTTAGAGTGGCCCACTCTGATCATTCGGCTTTGGTCGTGTTTAGCTGACGAGGAGGCGCACCTTTCCCATAAATCTGTAATGTATTTATTGCAGTTCTACCTTTGTGTCCTGAGTGCCTACTCTAAAGCAGCGGGTTGGGTCAACCAGATTTCTGGTTATACAGAGTACGAATGATATCAACTTAGCTAAAACCTCTCCTTTTTTGATTGCTAAAGGTCTTGCTGGCTTAGCTGGTGAGCCCAAAAGCGTCAAAAAAATGAGAAATGGTACTCTGTTAGTGGAATGTGCTAAAGAATCACACGCTACTTCATTATTAAAATCAAAAACTTTAGCCAACATTCCGATCAAAGTTGCACCGCATAACTCTCTTAATTCTTCAAGAGGTGTTATTCGGTCTCAGGATTTAGAAGGCAGCTGTGAGGAAGAGATGCTTGAAAATCTCGCCTCACAAGGTGTTACATACGTCAAACGTATTTCCATCAGACGTAATGGTAATATTATCCAAACCAACACCTATATCCTGACCTTTGATAAACCTGATCTTCCTAGGATGATCAAAGCTGGTTTTCTTGCCATACCAGTTTCCCCTTACATCCCAAATCCATTACGTTGTTTCATTGTCAACGCTTTGGACACAGTAAAAACGTATATAAGGGGAAAGCGGTGTGTGCTCAATGTGGACAAGATGGTCACGAAAGTACATCTTATCAACTTAATCACCATTGCATTAACTGCAAAGGGCCTCATTTTGCTTATTTTAGAGAGTGCCCAATATGGAAGAAAGAAAAACAAGTTCAACAGGTCAAAACGGAGAAAAATATATCGTATCCGGAAGTTGGTTGAGGCTGCAACCCCAACATTTCCAATGTCTTTTGCAAATGCAGTCAAGCCGAAGACCACTTCTATTGCTTGCCAAACGCCTGTTGAATTTCCAGCTGCGACAAAAGTTTCCTTGTCAAAACAAACAAAACCTCATATTCCTCCAAAACCCGCAATTGTAACCCTCAGCACTCAGACTGTTTATAAGTCTGGGGATTCTGAGATAGAGGAGATTGTGCCCCCCACTCCTCTACCAAATGGTGGAAATCCACCCAAAACCAACAAAATCAAGGAACGTTCTGATAAAGACGTTCCTCGAAAATTAAATACCTTCCGTAGTAGGAAGGGTGACAAGGATGTTGTTGTTGAAGTACATGACCCCAAACAACATCATAGAAGTCCTGTTAAACCTCCCTGAAAATGGCTAATCCCATTATTCAATGGAATTGTCGTGGTCTTAAACCAAATTTTAATGAAGTTCAAATTTTAATTAAAATTTTTTAAACCTTTAGCTATTTGTCTACAAGAAACTTTTTTAAAGAATTCAGATGTCTTATCTCTCAGACATTTTGTTGCTTATCATCATTTTGCTAATAATGATGGTAGAGCACACAGTGATGTTTCCATTTTCCTTAATGGAAATATTCCGCAGAGTAAAGTCGCTCTCAACTTGCCTTTACAGGCAGTTGCAGTTAGGGTGACTCTACATATTCCTATCACAATCTGCTCTGTATATTTACCACCAAGTTTGCATCTGAACCCCAGAGATCTTGATGACCTCTCCGGTTTTATTATTACGGGAGATTTCAATGGTCATCATTCACACTGGGGGAGTCCAGACAATAACAACAGAGGTAAACAAATAGTGGACTTCATTAACATTAATAATTTGTGTTTGTGAAAGGCTCAATACCACTCTTGTTGTAACTGAATAATATGTCCCAATCTTTATTCTGGTCAACAAATTGTACTATTTTACAATATTCCAATTAATTGGTGATATAAATTTCATCTTAACACACCCCATTTAAAAATTTTGAAAAATTCATCATAATGGTTTGAAACGTCTAACGTAAACCTTTTCAAATGAAACTTCGATTTAAAAATATTTTCGAACCCTCTGGACAAGTAAAATAGGATGTAATGGATAATTTACACACTAGGTAGGACACTTAAACATCTAGTACTTAGATAGAGATATAATTTATTTTCTGGAGCTTTCAAGCCAGCAAGAGTGTTATTGTCCCTTTAAATAATGACTCGCCCACTTATCTACATCCTGCCACAGCTTCTTTTTCTTCCCTCGATCTCACTATTTGCTCTCCGGTCCTGTTTCAGGATTTTACATGGAGAGTAAATGAAGATCTGTGTGGCAGTGATCATTTTCCAATCTTTATAGAAAATAATGGAACCTCTCCTGTTGAACGACTGCAGAGGTGGAAGTTGCATAAGGCTGATTTGGCTCTTTTTGAATCTTTGTGTCTTTTCTCTTCTGACACAAAGGAGCTAGAAGATACAGATGATTCCATCGCCTTATTCACTTCAATTCTTCAAGATGTAGCTGTGCAGGCTATTCCAATAAACCATGGTATAATTTATATAACGATTACAAATCCGCTCTGAAAGAGCGTGATCGTATTTTAAGACGCCTTAAGAATCACCCTTCCAATTCCATGGAGAATCTTGCAACATACAAAATGGTCTGGGCGAAAGCCTGTAGAACTATAAGCCAGGCAAAGAAGTCTTCGTGGCAGGGTTATGTCTCAAGGATAAAATCCTGTACGACTTCTAAATCGATATGGGATAGGATTCGTAGGATTAAAGGTAAAAGTAGTGCATTATCAGTTAACCATCTAAATGGTGATAATACCACCTTAACAACATTTCCTGATATTGCTAACTCTCTGGCCAGTACATTTTCATTCAATTCATCATCCAATTTCTTCTCTGATGCCTTTCGGGGCATTAAACATCAGCAGGAGAACAGGCGACTTAACTTCAAGTCCCACAATGATGAATGTTATAATGATCAATTTTCTCTTCCTGAACTTAGCGATTCTCTTAAACGAGCTCGGGATACTGATTCACTACCAGATTTTAAAACATCTATCTTTTTCTACACTTTTAATATTATTAGATCTTTATAACCAGATTTGGGTTGATGGGTTTTTCCCTCCTTCATTGCTTTAAGTTAAGCCACAATAATTCCCATCTCTAAACCAGGTAAAGATCATTCGAATCCTACCAACTATCGTCCGATCGCTTTAACTAGCTGTAATTGCAAAACCATGGAGAGATTGATCAATCGAAGGCTTGTTTGGAACCTTGAGTCCAACAACTGTATTACTGACCTCCAATGTGGATTTCGGTCACAAAGGAAATGAAATGAAATGAAATGGGGTTTAACTTCCTACTGTTCTGCTCCTATACTGGGCTAATGAAGACGGGCATACGCCATACAGTGTGCTATGAGGGAAATTTTGCCCGGGCAGCGTCACTATCACCTACTCTTATATCGAATTCCAACTGCCAAGGGATCTTTTACGTGCATTCCAATGTATACACGGGGCCTCGGTTTTTCATCTCATCCGAAGGACTAGACAGCTGTCCTTGTTCAGTCCCAAAGGAGCACTCTTGATCATCTCGTTAGATTTGAAACGTTTGTCAGGGATGCTTTCATCCAGAAACAACATTTAGTTGCTATATTTTTATACGCCCACATGGAAATGTGGTCGTATATTGCTGTCGCCCCCGTCCATCGGTCCGTCGCTCCGTCCGTCCATAGTCCACAATTTCTTGTAAACACTCTACAGACTACATATATCATCTGATTGTTTTGAAATTAGTATATGTTGTTTGCATTAGTGAGATGAAGAAGCCTATTTAATTTCAATAACTTCCGTTAATTTCACTTTGTTGCACCTTGTAAACGCTCTAACGACAAAAGTTATCAACCGATCTGTATGACATTTATATGCATCATTTAAATTAGTAAAACAAAGAAGCCTATAGAATTTCAGCAATTTCCGTTAATTACATCTAGAGTTAAGGCCTTGTTTCACTTTGTTGAATGTTGTGAACGCTCTAATGACAACAGTTATCATCCGATCTGTTTGAAATTGATATGCATCATTTAAATTAGTAAAACGAAGAAGCCTATTGAATTTCAGCAATTTCCGTTAATTACGCTGTGAGTTATGGCCCTTGTTTCACTTTGTTGTACCTTGTAAATGCTCTAACGACAAAAGTTATTATCCGATCTGTATGAAATTTATTATATGTATCATTTAAATTAGTAAAATGAACAAGCCTATTGAGTTTCTGAAAATTTCATCTAGAGTTATGGCCCTCGATTTACTTTGTTGAACTTTGTGAACGTTCGAACGACAAAAGTTATCATCCGATCTGTATGAAATTTATATGCATTATTTGAATTAGTAAAACGAAAAAGCCTGTCGAATTTGAACAATTTCTGTAGATTACTTCCAGAGTTACGGACCTTGTTTTAGTTTTTAGAACCTTTAATTCCTCAAACGACGAAAGTTATAATGTCATCTGTCCCCTAATTACCTACAAAAGAATAAATATGTGACAACCCTTGTCGACTGCTCGGACGGTTTAGCTGCTGTGGGCGTATGTTTTGTTGCCTGGCAACCTATCTTTGTTTAGCAAGTTCACTATCCATCTCTTGCAAAATATGGGCGTATCCTGCCTGGCATCCACTGGTTTGATATCAAAAAAAGACTTGTAGGAGATTCTCTATATATATTTCTAATTCATTTATATTTAAGTCTATTATCAAAATCTGTAGTATGTTTCGCTGATTTCAAATATGTATAACATCTATATGTTTGACTTTTGTTATTATTATTACTATTTGTTCTTTGTCTGAAATGTTTCGAAGGAAGGAACGAACGAAGGAACGAACGATGCTCAATAAAATTCTTGAACGTACATAAACGCACGGTCTTCATTAGTATAATATTATATAATTTGTTGTTAATAAATACTCATTTAGAATAATTTGGACTTCTCTCATTTAGGCCAACTCCTAACCTTGTCGGTTGAGAGTTACTTCCCTTTGTCAACTTAGTTTGCAATTAACAATTTATGAGATTGGTCGATAAAAATAGCGCAAACATCAAGGGCGGATAACTTGAAAACGTGTCTCCCCCATAGATTAACCCAGGGGTTAGTAGAGTAGAACAGAATGAAACCACTGGGGATACTGAGGATGTTATTAGACAGAAACTATCGATTTTCAGCATTCTAATACCTTCCATTCCGGACTTACCCCACTTTTGCTGAAAGTCTTTGAATGCAATATTGGCTACAGTTTTCGACAGTCTAGTCATGAGAGGTCAAACCCTATCGATATTCAGCATTCTACAACTTTCCATCCCTTTCATGAGAATATGAACCCTATCAATTTTCAGTTTTCCAAGACTCTCCGTACCAGAGTGATCATGCCTTTGCCGAAAACTTTGTGAACACAATGGAAGCTACAGATTTTAACAAATTTTTTTTCAAATTTTATTTGAAGCATTGGGGTCTTGAGAAGATGAACTCAGCATTCTGTGACTTTCCATTTCAGAGCTATCCCACCTTTGTAGAAAACCTTGTGAACACAATAGGCACTACAGTTTATTACATATTGTTTAAAAATTTGGTCAAAAGCATTGGGGTCATGAGAGGATGAACCCTAGTAATATTCAACGTACTGTGACTTTCCATTTTGGAGTTATCCCCCCTTTGTTGAAAACCTTGTGAACATGATAGATGCTTTAATGATTATCAACAGATTTCTTTCAAAATTGCGGGTAAGCATTGCGGTCATGAAAGGATAAACCCTGTCGATTTTCAGTGCTCTGCGACTTTTCGTTCCGGAATTATCCTCCCTTTGCCAAAAACCTTGTGAAGGCTATAGTTTTTAATAGATTTTTTTCAAATTTGGTGGGAGGCATTTGGGTCATGAGAGGATATATGAACCCTATCAATATAAAGTGTTCTGCAACTTTCTGTTGCAACATCCAATTTTTTATTTCAGATAAGTTGCAGTTGATACATTTTGGAATGGCTCAAGATAATTTGTTATATATTTGGTTTAATTTAGATATCTGGGAGGATTCTTTTAAACTGTTGTTAAGAATATTTATGTTCCAAATTATTTTTGTTTTGTAGTTCTCAAGAGAGAAAACCCAATCGGTGGAGAAACCTTTAATCGAGGTTATTTCTGAGTGTAACACAGAGTCCAAGACTGGAACATCTACAACAGTTAAAGAAACATCAGATTTAATGATATCACAAAGAGTGCAGGAAAAGGCAGACATGCCAGAATCACAAAACAGTCACTCTGATAAACTTTTAAATTTAAAAACCAATAAATTCCTCGAAGACAATAATTTGAATCCTGATAAAATCTTGGAGGTTAACAAATTAACAAATGATAAGGTTAATGAACCACAGACTACAAAACTTGAAGTTTCAAATTTGAGTCCAAATTCTAAATTAGCAGAAGTATTTGAGGAACTGTGTCATCCAGAGATACCTGTCCGAGGTCATGCTTTACTGACATTAGTCAAATTAGTTCAGTCAAAAGATTTAGAAACAATTAATCATCAAGATTCTGTTGCTGAAATATTTGAAAATAATTTGGCCCATACAGACACCTATTTGTATTTACCGTCTGTAAATGGTCTGGTTGCTATGGCAGACATTCTTCCTGATAAAATTATTCCACGATTAGCTCGCGAATTTTCTAATATCACCGAAAATAAATCAACTATTCAGTCTGATCTCAAATTGAAAGTAGGAGAAGCCCTAGTTAAGACATTAAGGGTGTTGGGTAAGTCATAGAAACTACATGCTATTGTTTAAATTTGTCATGTGCAGTATATGTACATACATGTGGATGAATTTTGAAATACACTGCCATGGCTCTCTATGTAATGGTTACCCTAAAATAAATGTCAGTGTACTGTGACATGTTGCCTTGAGTGGCCTTATAAGTTTGAAATGAAATGGGGTGTATGTCTTACTGTTCTGCACTGGCAGGGCTCATGATGACATACCCCACACAGTGTGCTATGAGGGAAATTTTGCCCGGACAGCAGCACTATATGGCCTAGTCTTATTTCCAATTCCAGCTGTCAAGGGTTCCATCTTAACGACTAAACATTGTCTCTTGTCAGGCCCCATTTCTGCACCACTGACAGGGGGGAACCACGCCAGAAAATCCTGATGAACCTTCTCATTCTACTGCAGTGCAGTGTTCTTTACATGGATTATTCAATTACCATGAATGGGTCATTTGGAAGATCTCTACCAAAATTTGAAATTAGTATTTACTTTCAAATTTATGAAATCTTGTGAATTCAGTACTTGAATTTTTTATATGCCAACATGTTAATGTGGATGTACATTACGATCCATCCGTTGTTCCATTGACAAACAGATTATGAACATTTTTTTTTTAGGTGACATGATACCCAAGTATAAGAGTATATTATTACCTGCTGTACTATGTGGTGTTAAGGATTGTGATCCACTGGTTCGAGCTAGTAGTCTTTCAAATCTTACAGAAATATGTTGTTTGCTGAGATTTTCATTGGGAAGTCATATTCATGAGGTAAGACATAGTAGTGTGACTATTTAAGTAAACTATGTAACATGAACAATATATTAAAAATATGGGTTCAGAAATCATCTCCACAAATGTAGAAGTCAACTTTTTTTTCTAAAATTATAATCTTGGGATTTAAAGGGAATTTTGCAAGGATTTATATATTATTCACCAGGGCTCGACAAGCGGACAGGCGAGTTTTACGTCTGACAGGTTTCTAGTAAAAGTACCTTTTGATAGCGACAGTTGTACCGGTACTAATTTTTATTTTACTTCAATTCATAATACCGGTACTCACATATCAAGTCATGTATATTTATTTATTCCTTTTCAAAATGGTTGGGATGTAAGAATTAACTACGAATAAATACTTCGAAAAGCCGCCATTTGCATTGTTTACACATCGTATTTCACACATCCCATCTCTATTGGCCCGGTCGGTGCGGAATTGTAGGACATTAAACCCATTTCATTTATTTCACACATGTACTCTTGTTTTAATTTGTTTGACACTACTTTACAGCAGTATGAACCAGGGATCTTAATCGGCTGTTTTTTGTCGGCTTTAGCCGATTGATCTTTAATCTAGCCGATTGGTAAAACAATGAACCGGCCACTAAGGTATCACAAATCAATCTACTTTCGACCGATTTACAAAGAATTAATTATCGGGCCGATTGGTAAATCCATCAAAGAGTCAATCATTACAATGAATACCTTCGGCTTATTTCATAAATAAACAACTTAATTGAGGTAATCATACCAAGTACTTGAACACCTCGCAGAATGACACCAGAAACGTAAACGAGATTTAAACTGAAAATAGTGATGGCGGCGTTGACCTTGAACTTCAAGCAAGCACGTCGTCAATGAAAGTTCCAAAAGCCGGAGATCCGACAATTGGCCACGTGACCTTTCGCACGTACAGCATATTTCCGAGTTCCGACTATACACGGAAACTGATTTGTGCTACTTTATTATTTATATACTTATATACTTTGTTATTTTTATATATATATATATATGTGCTTACGAATAAAATAATTTAAAACCCATTTGTAAGTACTTGTAGTTTTTACTAATTTATAACTTCCGTTTAGTTGGATGAAAGCAAAAGTAGGAATATGCAATGCAAGTTGCTTAAATAATAATATGACTATAATGTCGAGATTATAGCGATGTATGAATACAAGTATGCAATTACAAACGTCTTGTTTATTCAGAGTTTCAGCTATTATTATCCGGAACATGTTATGCAATTAGTGCATTATGCAATTACTGTCTTGAATAGAGTATGCATAAACTAACATGTTTGTTGTTGAAAAGATGACTAATCCATTAGGCCTAACCGTGGCAGGTCCATTTCAAAATGGATTAAGAACCCTGGTATGAACACTATTAATATGTATCCTCACACACTATATAGTGTTTTTGTCCCCCGCCTTTCGAAGAAAGCAGGGGACTATTAAAATGGGTCCGTCTGTCTGTCTGTCTGTCTGTCTGTCTGTCTGTCTGTCTGTCTGTCTGTCTGTCTGTCTGTCTGTCTGTCTGTCTGTCTGTCTGTCTGTCTGTCTGTCCGTCCGTCCGTCCGTCCGTCCGTCCGTCCGTCCGTCCGTCCGTCCGTCACACTTTTTGGGACACAATAACTCTCTTCCTAATTGAGCTAGAATGTTCAAACTTGGTGTATGTGTTTATTAGGTCAATGCCTTGATGGAGTTCGAAGATGAGCATTTTCCGCTTAGGGTAAGCAGAGATAAGCAATTTGATTGGTTGATGCTTTGGGACACGATAACTCTCTTCCTAATTGGGCTAGAATGTTCAAACTTGGTGTATGTGTTGATTAGGTCAATGCCTTGATGGAGTTCGAAGATGAGCATTTTCCGCTTAGGGTAAGCAGAGATAAGCAATTTGATTGGTTGATGCTTTGGGACACGATAACTTTTAATTGAGCTAGAATGTTCAAACTTGGTGTATGTGTTTATTAGGTCAATGCCTTGATGGAGTTCGAAGATGAGCATTTTCCGCTTAGGGTAAGCAGAGATAAGCAATTTGATTGGTTGATACTTTGGGGCACGATAACTCTCTTCCTAATTGAGCTAGAATGTTCAAACTTGGTGTATGTGTTGATTAGGTCAATGCCTTGATGGAGTTCGAAGATGAGCATTTTCTGCTTAGGGTAAGCAGAGATAAGCAATTTGATTGGTTGATGCTTTGGGACACGATAAATTTAGTTCTAATTAAGTGAGATTGATGAAACTTGGTGTATAGATTTATTATATGAATAGCTTAACTAAGTTCGATAATGAACATTTTTTGCTGAGGGTAAGCAGAGTGATAAGCAATTTGATTGGTAGAAACTTTGGAACACAATAACTCTCCTTCTAATTGAGGTAGAATGTTCAAACTTGGCATAGGTGTCTATTAGGTGAATGTTTAAACTTGATGTATATGTAGATGTTCATTAGGTGAATGTCTTGACTGAGTTCAATAATTAACATTTCGAGCTGAAGCTAAGCAGAGCTAATCGATTTCATTTGTCGATGGTTTGGGACAAGATAATCTTGATTCTATCTGATAGAGAGTGATGAAACTTAGTGAAAAAAATAAATGTGCGATTAATTAATATGTGTCATCTATTTATTTTGCAATTTCGGCGGGGGACATCAGCCTCACTGTTGGCTTGTCTATTCACAGGCATTACGATTTTTGACAATATGTAACGAATAAAATCTCTTTACTTTAAATGCACTACCAAAGGCGGTACACTATTACGCATTTTGAAAGAAATTTCAAAACTTACATTTCTTCAACATACCAAGTTTGACATTTCTTATAAGTATATAACCGACTACATATTGGATAATGATCCAATTTAAATTATTTTTATACGCCCACATTTTCATGTGGACGTATATTGTCGTCGCCCCTGTCTGTCTGTCCGTCCACAATTGTTTGTGAACAGTCTACAGGTCACAATTTTTATCCGATTTCAATGAAACTTGAAATGTAGGTTTATCACCCTAAGATCTTGGTTCCTTTCGATATTGGCATGTAACAGACTGTAACTTCATGGATTATGGCCCCTGATTGTACAAAAAATCATGTGGACGTATATTGTTGTCGCCCCTGTCCGTCCGGGCGTCCGTCCATCCACAATTTGTTTGTGGACACTCTACAGGACGCAATTCTTATCCTATTTTGACGAAACTTGAAATATAGGTTTATCTCCAAAAGATCTCGGCTGCTTTTGATATTGGCATGTATTGGATCGAAACTTCCTGAATTATGGCCCCTGATTGTACGAAAAATCGCGTTTTTAGCTTGTGGACCCTATAGAGGTCCTAATTTTTATCCGATTTAAAAAAATGTATTATTATATCACCGTTACACCCTAAGGATGGCTGAGTTCGAATTTCGTGAAAATCGACCCAAAACTGACAGACAAAATGGCCGCCCTTCGTTCTCAAATAGTGTAAAAATATGGTATATCAAGGTTGTGGACCCTATAGAGGTCACAATTTTAATCCGATTTTGTTGAAACTTGAAATGTAAGTTAGTTTAAAACCCAAAGATCTCGGTCCCTTTTGATATTCGTGCATATCGGACCGTAACTTCCTGAATTATGGCCCCTGATTGTACGAAAAATCGCGTTTTTAGCTTGTGGACCCGTTAAGAGGTCATAAGTTTTATCAGATTTAAAAAAAACGTATTATTATATCACTGTTACATCCTAAGGACGGCTGAGTTCGAATTTCGTGAAAATCGGCCTAAAATTGACAGACAAAATGGCCACTGTTCGTTTTCAAATAGCGTAAAAAATATGGTATATCAAGGTTGTGGACCCTATAGAGGTCACAATTTTTATCCGATTTTGTTGAAACTTGAAATGTAAGTTTATAACCCAAAGATCTCGGTTCCTTTCGATATTCGCGCATATCATACCATAACTTCCTGAATTATGGCTCCTGATTGTACGAAAAATCGAGTTTTTAGCTTGTGGACCCTATAGAGGTCATAATTTTTATACAATTTAAAAAAACGTATTATTATATCACCGTTACACCTTCAGGACGAATGAATTCGAATTTCATGAAAATCGGCCCAAAATTGACAGACAACTTCATAACTTGAACAGCTAAATCCATGATATTAAATGTTTCGTATACTAAACGTTAGCATGGGACAGAACTTTATAAACCATAAAATGTATGATTCAATTATTGTTTTAATAAATCTACCTTGAATTTGTATAGATCAAGCGTCGGAAGACGGGGCGATTGCTAAGATTCACAATCCATGCCGAGATGTTATCATTCGCCAATATTGACTGTATTTTTCGTTACCGGTATATTTTTCCTGATTATTTACTTTGAGGGGAGTCAATTTAGACTTTGAGGCGAGCAATAAAAAGTATACCTGGACTGACATCTAGGCGTTTCCAGGAGAGCAAGAGCAATTGCGCTCCTTTTACGTGAAGGCCTCATATATCCAGAGTCTTCATCATTACAAACATTTGTCCATTCGATTCAATAGTAATGCTGTTATCTTACTGTGAAAATATTGGCTCCTGATACCAAATAATTAAGACACAGTGAGTGATTTGTAATGAGACACCTTGATGAACGTGGCAAGGCGTAAGTGAAATGTCAAACCGTACTTCCAATGTAAACTGGACTGACTAAGCACATGCAACTACCATTCAATTTGGACTGCTCAATGAACAAAACTGATTAGAAATTACAATAAAAGTTTTAAAAAATGAATTTAAATCAGTTTATATGGATTAATATGTGCTTTTTGATCCATTTTAAATTCCAAAGAATAGATATTTAGCTCCATAAAATTTATGTGATTCTGATCAATTTCGGACATTATCCCAAATGAGATAATGCAGACATAAATAAAAAAATTTATGTGATTCTGATCAATTTCGGACATTATCCCAAATGAGATAATGCAGACATAAATAAAAAAATTATTGTACTTCAAGGAGTAATGTCAAGCTTGCATAATAAAGAAACTAAATTGGACTTTTCCTATATGTGACGCAGGTAGGGGTATTAAACTAACTACCAGTTTCTAAAATCCTTATTAATGACAATATAATTGATTATTTTAGATATTGTCATGTTGTGGTAGTGTTTTAAAGTTTGATGAAGATGTTGAAGTCAGGAAAGCAGCTGCCTTAGTTTTTACACATTTACTCCAGGGTGTTGGAAAAGAGGCATTTAAGGTACATATTTGTATAACAGTTGGCTTGTGAATGCAATAGAGACTAGAGTTTTTATACTCACACATTTTCATGTGGACATATATTGTTGTTGTAAAAGCATGTAATACCAAGGTTGTGGATCGAGGTCACAACTTTTTCCAATTTCGACAAAACTTAAAATATAAGTTTATATCCCAAAGATCTTGGTTCCTTTCAATATTGGTAAGTATGGGATCATAACTTGTTTGTGGACACTCTACTACAGGTCACAATTTTTATCCGATTTTGACGAAACTTGAAATATAGGTATATCTCCCAAAAGATCTTGGTTCCTTTCGATATTGGCATGTATTGGACCATAACTTCATGGATTATGGTCCCTGTTTGTACGAAAAATCACGCATTCTACATAGCATGTTTCGCACAGCATCAACTTGCATATGCAAATGTAGGATATCATGTGACCTATTAACATATACGGAAACATGGCACACTATAAGCCAGAACACTATAAGCACACAATAAAAATTTACTCATGATTAAAGGGGGGGGGGGGGACTGTGCAATGTCCAAAAACGAAATTTCAGGTATCATGTTACATGTAAGTGAAAATCACATTCATTTCTGTTTGTAAATATGTAAATAGTTTTCTGATACAATCGTATTTTCATTATTTAAATCCAATAAATATCACACTATTAAAGGGGTATTCAAGTAAAAATACTGGTCTAAATACGAAATTCCAGATACCATGTTAAGTATCACTGATTGCTGTTTTCAAATATGCAAATAATTTTCTGGCACATTCATATTTGCTTAACTTTACAAAATAAGATTAAAGTTGAAGTGAAGGGGGTGGGGGGCTAAACTAAAATAAAGATACAGGGCTTAATCAAAAATTCTCTATGTCCATACTAAAAGATGTATAGTTATTCCTCTCTTTAAATATATTATTGATTTGTTGGGGACAATGCTTATATATTGTTGTTATACGCCCACATTTTCATGTGGACGTATATTGTCGTCGCCCCTGGACGTCCGTATACCCGGTCATCTGGATGTCCGTCCGTCCACAATTTGTTTGTGGACACTCTACAGGTCACAATTCTTATCCGATTTTGACGAAACTTGAAATATAGGTTTATCTCCAAAAGATCTCGGTTCCTTTCGATATTGGCATGTATCGGATCGAAACTTCATGGATTATGGCCCCTGTTTGTACGAAAAATCACGTTTTTAGCTTGTGGACACTATAGAGGTCACAATTTTTATCCGATTTTGTTCAAACTTGAAATCTAAGTTGATAATCCAAAGATCTCGGTTCCTTTCGATATTCGCGCATATTGGACCGTAACTTCCTGAATTATGGCCCCTGATTGTACCAAAAATCGCGTTTTTAGCTTGTGGACCCTATAGAGGTCATAATTTTTATCCGATTTAAAACCAGTGGCTGCCAGACAGGATACGCCCACATTTTCGAGAGATGGATAGAGAACAAGCTAAGAAGAAAGTGATTTTTCCTACAATCAAGGGCCATAATTCAGGAAATTACAATTCGATATGCGCAAAACGCGATTTTTCGTACAATCAGGGGCCTTAATTTTTATCCGATTTTGTTGAAACTTGAAATGTAAGTTTATAACCCAACGATCTCGGTTCCTTTCGATATTCGCGCATATCGGACCTTAACTTCCTGAATTATGGCCCCTGATTGTATGAAAAATCGCGTTTTTAGCTTGTGGACCCTATAGAGGTCATAATTTTTATCCGATTTAAAAAAAACTACTATTATATTACCGTTACACCCTAAGGACGAATGAGTTCGAATTTCATGAAAATCGGCCCAAAATTGACAGACAAAATGGCCGCCGTTCGTTCTCAAATAGCGTAAAAATATGGTATATCAAGGTTGTGGACCCTATAGAGGTCACAATTTTTATACGCCCACATTTTCATGTGGACGTATTATGCCGTCGCCCCTGTCCGTCCGTCCACAATTGTTTGTGGACTCTCTACAGGTCACAATTCTTTTCCGATTTTGACGAAACTTGAAATATAGGTTTATCCCCAAAAGATCTCGGCTGCTTTCGATATTGGCATGTATCGGATCGAAACTTCATGGATTATGGCCCCCTGATTGTACGAAAAATCACATTTTTAGCTTGTGGACCCTATAGAGGTCACAATTTTTATCCGATTTTTTTGAAACTTGAAATATAAGTTTATAACCCAAAGATCTCAGTTCCTGTCGATATTCGCGCATATCGGACCGTAACTTCCTGAATTATGGCCCCTGATTGTACGAAAAATTGCGTTTTTAGCTTGTGGACCCTATTTTGTTGAAACTTGAAATGTAAGTTTATAACACAAAGATCTCGGTTCCTTTCGATATTTGCACATATGGAATTGTAATTTCCTGAATTATGGCCCTTGATTGTAGGAAAAATCACTTTCTTTATAGCTTGTTCTATATCCATCTCTCGAAAATGTGGGCGTATCCTGCCTGGTAGCCGCTGGTTATCTGATTTTGTTGAAACTTGAAATGTAAGTTTATAACCCAAAGATCTCAGTTCCGTTCGATATTCGCACATATCGGATCGTAACTTCCTGAATTATGGTACCTGATTGTACTAATAATTGTGTTTTTAGCTTGTGGACCCTATAGAGGTCATAGTTTTTATCCGATTTAAAAAAAAGTTTTAGTATATCACCGTTATGGTTGAGTTCGAATTTCCTGAAAATCGGTCCTTAGAGGTCATAATTTTTATCCGATTTAAAAAAACGTTTTAGTATATCACGGTTAAACCCCAAGGATGGTTGAGTTGGAATTTCGTGAAAATCGGCCCAAAACTGACAGACAAAATGGCCGCCCCTCGTACTCAAATAGCATAAAAATATGGTATATCAATGTTGTGGACCCTCTAGAGGTCACAATTTTATTCTGATTTTGACGAGACTTGATACCTTTCGATATTCGCAGATATCGGACCGTAACTTCCTGAATTATGGTCCCTGATTGTACGAAAAACCGCGTCTTTAGATTGTGGACAATATAGGGGTCATAATTTTTATCCGATTTAAAAAAAACGTTCAAATATATCACTGTTACACCGTAATTTTGGTTTGAGTTCGAATTTTGTGTAAATTGGGCCAAAACTGCTGGACAAAATGGCCGCCCCTCATACGCATGTATAGCATCTGGTATATCAAGCTTGTGGACCCTCTATGGGTTACAATTTTGATCTGATCTTGAAGAGAGTTGAAATACATGTTTATAACCCAAAGATCTTGGTTCCTTTCTATATTCGCGCGTATCGGATCGTAAATTATGGCCCTTGAATGTAAAAAATATCACGTTTTTAGCTTGCCATCCATGTAGAGGTCACAATTTTTATCCGATTTTAAAAAAACATGTGAATACATCACCATTACACACTAAGATCTTGGTTACTTTTGATAATCGCGTATATCCGAACGTAACTTTCTGGATTATGCTCCTGATTGTTCGATAAATCGCATTTTTAGCTTGCGGATTCTCTAGAGGTCACAAATTTTTGTCCGATTTTAAAAACCATTTAAATATTTCACCATTCCACCATAATGAAGGTTGAATTCGAATTTCGGGATAATCGAAATGAAACTGCCCGACAAAATGACCCCTCTTGTACGCAAATTGTGTAAAAGTATGCAATATGAAAGTTGTAGAGTGGACCCTCTAGAGGTCACAATTTTTATCATATTCTGATGAAACTTAAAACATATCTTTATATCCCAAAGATCTAAGTCCTGCCTGGCAGCCGCTGGTTTGTACAATCAGGGTCCATAATGCAGAAAGTTATGGCCTGAAATGCGCAAATATCCAAAGGGACTGAGATTTTTGGAATATAAAGATATGTTTTACTTTAGGTTTCATCAAAATCACATAAAAATTGTGACCTCTAGAGGGTCCATAACCTTTGTATTACATACTTATACACAATTTGCGTACAAAGATCGGCCATTTTGTCAGGCAGTTTCATTTCTATTATCCCGAAATTATTCAACCATCATTATGGTGGAATGGAGATATATCTAAATGTTTTTTAAAATCGGAAAAAAAAATTGTGACCTCCAGAGAATCCACATGCTAAAAATGCAATTTTTCGACCAATCAGGGGCCATATCTGATTTTGATGAAACTTTAAATATATGTCTATAACCCAAAGATCTGGGTTCCTCTCGGTACTTGCGCTTATCGAACCATATCTTCCTGGATTATGGCGCCTGATTGTACGAAAATATAGTTGGAAGCTTGTGAAGCATTGGGGTCATGAGAGGACGAACCCTATGAATATCTAACGTTCTAAAATTTGGTCAACATCTATGCTTTCCTTTTAGATAAGCTGCTGTCGAGACATTGCTGCTAGTGGCTATCTTCATTGAATTCATTCTTCTCTTTTTGACAGATATTGGATTCTGGTTTAAAAGATGTCTATCGTTTATTGAAAACAGTTAACATGGTTGAGACTGATCCAGTTGTTATAGATCATGTTACTCTAGCTTTAAATGAACTAGATGATATAATGAGAGAAGCTCTATTTCCTAAACAAGTTCTATCTAAAATGGTTAGAGTTTTAAGTGTTGACTAACTAAATCAAGTTGTAATACACATGGAAATATCTTAAATTGTTATGAAATATTTTTTTAGAGTTTGCAGTGTTTGCACTCACTATTTCAAAGATCGCATGAATAATTCCCACATCCTATATGTCTGTCATCCTGGCATAGTCGCAATCCAACCTCTAATTTTTGCTACATCTGATGCAGTATTGCTTTATCTGGTCCTTTGATAGAGTGGTTCATACTCAATTTTTTTAACAACAAACACACACTATTTCGGGATTATTTTAACATTATATGATAAGACTTACCATAAAAACTTCATTTATCAACAATGGAAGTCTGACAACATTTGATTTTTGAGGATATAACCATTTGCAAATATGTTATAAATGCCTCAAAATCTACCCGTCTTCCATAATCAAGGCAGATAACTCTTAGTGAGGATAAGAGTTATGTCCCTTGGTCGCGGTAAAAATGGTACGGATGCCCCTGAAACGAAAATTTCATTATCGCAGTCGGAAAACATTGTTTATTTCCTGGCTGCGAAGTAACGGAATACACTCTATGAGACGATTGAATTGAGTTGTTTTAACAATATATCCACGCCTTCACATGTCTTAATATTAACTGTTTATAATGCTACAGTGAAAATTAAAATACACGTTTAGCTGGATATGAAACCGTCGACGTTTGAATTGCTTAAAGATTAGCCAAACATATGTATTAAAAAGAACAGTGCTTTCATTTCTGTATACCCACAGCCACTGGGTCTGTTTAAAATCGCATGTTATATACAGACGGAGCGAGAGAGAGAGACGTCTATAAATCTAATAATATAACACTTTAATGTTAATCCCAAAGATAAATAAATATATTGGGCAGCATGATATTTGTTATGAAAAATAAATTGTCAGATAAAGTACGAGGAAAATAAAATGGCATGTAATGCGGATAGTGAGGGATAAAGACCTCTATAAATCTTATAATTTAACACTTTATTTTTTGTCCCACAGATAAATAAATATATCGAGATTCAGGGAGATTTGAATTCGAATTTGGTATAGTGGGGAGGGGTAAATGCAACATAAAAGATAATATATTAACAACAAATTCAAAATTAGGACCACGTTCTCTCTTGTGGTATGCTAGCATTTACACACGAATATTTATGCCGTTATCTGTTCTATTTCGTACAAAGCGCTCAATAACATTTACCAAAACACATTTCATCGTGACCAACGCCCCCTGAATGAATATGTCTGTATGTTAGAGCTGCATATGCTACCGAATGTTGTCTTTTGCAACATCATTAAATCATATACATGTACTTAAACAGTATAACCATATATCTGTCTGTTCAGATATTTTTTATAACAATCAATGTTATCATGTCAGCTATTATACCACAGAAATACAAGTTTCCCAAAGAAGATTTAAGTTGAAATTAAATTAATCTATTAATTGTGTTCTCCTGTACACACAACCTATTTAAATTTAAGTTTCTAAATCTGTTACCTAATTGTCACCCGATAACACGATCTATATTTAAATGTAATACTTAAGTTGATAATATCCTCTTCTTTGTCAAACAAAAAATTGTAAAATTTAATTAACAAATATTATTCTTGACTATATAGTTCCTGGAACAAAAGGATTTACTACAAACCAATAAATAAAAAAGATGATCGTTGAAAACGCCAGTTGATAATATCCTCTTCTTTATCAAACAATAAAATGTAAAATTAAATTAACAAACATTGTTCACAATATTTCCTGGAACAAAAGGATTTACAACAAATTATTAAATTAATAAATATGCACAGTTAAAATGAACCAGAAAACAACCGAAACTGTAAATAGAAGGTATTAAATGATTAAAACGTATTCACTTTGTCAGAATGTCTGTCTGCTGGGGCATCTGGAATGAAGAATAAAATGGACATAGAAATAAAAAAATATCAATTAACTGCATTTCATAACCGCTAAGAAAGAGGCATTGTAAACTTCTTCCGATTAAGTAGGGTGAGCCATACAAATATTTGTTTCTAAATTTGCCTTTAAATTTGGAACAGAACGTTCCTTACCCGCCGAAGAAAAATAAAAAAGTGATTTATCAGAAACTGGCTGATTCATGACGTATCTACGAAATCGGGGCTGTGCTTTCAATGCCTCTTTTGTTTCCCCGACTGACGAAAACTTTGAAAGCCCATCATCCATTCCTTCTTTATTTATCCAAAGTCCCATCCCAGCAATTTCTGCTGTTAGGCGCTCTTTTTTCCTAATCTCAAGTTGTCCCCTTTCTTTTAATTTATCCCTTTTCGCCAAAAGAACCTCTAACCGTTTTCTCTCAATCTCTTCGCGCCTTTGTCTAAATTTAGAAAGTTGGTTTTTCGTTATAATTCGAGCATCCATTATGACCAAATTACATCTATCAGGAGAAAGAGTTTTAAGCCATTCGTTAGATTTATTCATTTTATATAAAATGGATGCTTCCTTGCCAAAAGTATTAGACGAGGGCGCGATCCTCATTAATCTATCGAGATGACTGAACACGGTTTCCGGCAATTTGTTGTGAGGCATGGCAGAACCCGAACATGAAGGATTAAAGTCATCTCGATACTCAAGTAAAATATTTGAAATGTACTTTTTAAACACGACAAAGAGGATTTTAAAAAAATGGATGAGGTTGAATTAATATCAGAATTAAAATCTAATTTTTTTAAGTGATCAAGGACTGGATCGTTTTCAATTTTAATCAGAGATTCAAATGGGTGTGATTTACCTTCTGCAAAGTCATGTAAATTTGCTGTTTCAAAAAAATCATGTAATTTTTTTATAAATATGTTTCATATCAAGAGCATTAAGAGTGTGTTTGCGAGAGAATCATGCAAAATTGAAAAATAACGGCACAAGTGGGGTCTGGCGATTTTGACCAAACTTTGCAGTTTTTGTCATTGGGTACCCCATATACCCCACATGAAATATGAGGGTCACCAACCTTGTAGTTACGGAGAACCAGCTATGGCCATTTTAGAGTTTAAACACATCTTTTTTGTGACAAAAAAATCCCTAAATTCAAATATTTCCCATAAATTGCCTATTGAATTTTTATTTTTTAAATTATTTTTTTTATGAATGATCTTGTCTACTACTTCAATATATATGACTATTAAATTTTTCCGAAACCATTTGACGCCATGAGGAATTTATTTTGAGACGTAGTTTTTGCTATATGCTAAAACATATAAATTTCATGATGCTATATCTCACCCACTGCGGGGCCGAGGACAATTATATTAATAATGGAAGTTGAGGACTACTAATACTATTATTTAGTTTTGAGAAAATGACTGGCACGGATTTCTTTCATATTAAATTTGATGGTTGAAGAAAATGACTTCATTTCTGACATTATTTTTCCAATAAAATCATTCATTGCCTGAATTATTAGGCCTGATAATGCCCCATGCAACCGTCTTCCAGTAACCCTATGTAGGACCGGTACAGATAATTCAGGAGTTCCACAAGGATCAGTCCTTGGCCCTATCCTTTCTGTAATGTATACTAAGAATTTAGGACATCTAATCGATAATTGGGTTTCTAGGACGACATACTTATGCAGGTGACACACAGCTGATTGCAAATTACTCCTTTTCAAAAACTGTTTCATCCCCTAATTATTCTGAAATCAAATTGTGTTGACGTGGCATTAAAGATAGGATGACAAGGAATATGTTGAAATTAAATGTAATTGAATAAGTAAATCAGAATGTATTTTATTTGGCCCAAATATACATCTGAAAAATACAAGTCCAAATGATATGGTTGTACAAGATGCAATACTTGTACCATGAAACACTGTGAAGAACTTAGGATGGGATTCAATTTAAGCATGGACAGTCACATTAGTGAAATTTGTCGACAATGTTATCTTCAGTCCAGGAACATTGGCCATATAAGACAATTGATTAGCTACTGTAACAGCTTGTTAGTAGAAACATCTAGTGCCAATATTAAAAAAAATCTAGTGCCAATATTAAAAAAAATCAACTTGTACAAAATACCGCAGCTCGAATTGTTACCAGATTATCAAAATTCTCTCATATTACTCCTGCTCTGAAACCACTCAATAAATGAAAGAATCATCTTCAAAAGTCTGCCTTTGACGTATCAGTGTGTGAATAGCTTAGCCAACGCTTATGCAAATACAAGTTCCCTCGCGTAAGCTCCGACCGGACACAGCTCCATCAGTTGTGTTACTCAAGGTGGAAATTAAAATCATTTGGATACGGATCGTTCTCGGTAAATCCGCCTAAACTGTGGACCAATCGTCCGGAGATCATTAAATCATCTCAAATTCTTTCTTGTTTGAAATCAAAACTTAAAACCCACCTTGTCATCAGGATTAAATAAATGAATTTCATTGTATGCGCAGTGAAAATGCCTCTGTGCATGGCATACGTGCGCTGTATAAACGAACATCATTATTATTATTTGCTAGGCCGAAGTTAGGTTTGTACTCCAGCATCCAAGATGACGGCTGAAATCAACTATTTATTTTCCCGTCTTTTTCCACAAATAAAATGAGGTTATCCGAAAGATACTACAATAGCATATTCCTGAAGCAATGGCCTGAGAAATATCTCTCTGGCCATTGCTGGATTGACTTCTGATACTTGATTTTTTAAGGAAGTGTGTCTATTCTGCAAAATGACAGTCTTTCATTTAATCTGGGTCTTCCAAAACCTTTCGTGAATCATGATGTAACGTTATGTAAACATGTTTGGAGCTCTGTTTGAACCCGAATGATATTGTTACGCAGTTGGTTATTAATCAGACTATTGACCAGTCATAATTTGCTTTAATTGCGGCGGGGGGTTGGATGGCTGAATGGTTAGCGTGCGCGCGCTGTATCATAAAGTCTGTCATTGAGTCGACTGGCGTGGTTTCGAATCCCCGGTTGTACGTGGCAAGGAGTAGGGTCGCCTGTCCAACCTCGTGGGTTTTCTCCGGGTCCTCCGGTTTCCTCCCACTGCTAAAGACCCCTACGCGCAAGCGAATTATGTAAATAAAATTAAACCATATGTTAGTCCCGAAATGACCTAGTTTGTGTCGAGTGGACGTTAAACCCCATTTCTCTCTCTCTCTCTTTAATTGCGGCAGTGTTGATTGGGAATAGGTCTAACCAAACGAAACACTGTGAGGGGTATGCTACAATAGTGACCTTGCGCGCATATACTATTTGTTTTATATTTTTGAAATATCGCTTGATTTGTTTTTCAAGTATAGACAGATTTGTATGACCACTATATGTTAGTATAAATTACACTATTTAGTTTTTACGATTTGCTGTTTAAAAATTCATCATCCTTCTACTACTAGTACTAGATCATGAGATTATTGCCGAATTAATAAAATGTTAAAAAATTAGTCCAGAGAGATTAATTGTATTTGCCAAGAACAATTCTTTTGGTATTTACAGTAAATTAAGCTTTTCAAACTTCAACGCTTAAAAATTTTTACGGTGTAATTGTGAGCTCGCTCAATTTTCATGATTAGATACTTAATGGAACTTGAACCCACGTTAATTTAGTTTCGAGTGCCTGTTACACAGTTCAGTGTATACATAAAGCAGTGCGTTTTCGTCATTTTTGGTGAAAATCGTTATTTTGGGGAGACAAATGGAGATTATTTACTACTAAACGAGTTGCGTGCCACCCAATTTTTTTCTTGATCTTAATACTACAGATCTTTGCCTTTTCAGTCAGCATTCCAAAAAAATTCTTATACCCGCAGTGGGTGAGATATAGATATAATAAAATAGCATACCTAAATTGAGCTATTTTGGTACCTTGAAGCACTAAATCCCTATACCAAAAACCTCTTGATGAAAGTCCATCAAACTGTACATATGTATACTCACTAATCATATCTGCTACCCAATAAAGTTTCATTAATCTACTCGCCGTGGTTTAGTTGTACCCCATAATTGAAAAATGGCCAGAAAATGATGATTTGGGGGGCTTTTTTTTGTCTAAAATGTCAAAAAATTTTCTACACTTTAAAAATGGTTTGATTGATCTAAAATTGTGGCAGTGGGGTTTGGAGGGGTTACCCATCATGCATAAACAAAATGGTGAAAATCAGTCACCCACCATGTGCCGCTCCCTGCATGATTCTCTCGCAAACACACTCTTAATACCGCTTTCTAATATGCACCACAGTGGAGCAGTTATTAGTTTATTTATGGCTACAGAATAATTAAATAAGATACTATGATTATGAAAGTAATTTACACCAAGTTACCGAAAAGTGTCTGGAAAATAAAGACTACCACTAAAAAGTTTGTTTCGGTTATTTTCCGGTCCCAAATAGTTCTGCATATTTAGAGCTAGCAAATATTTATTTCCTAAAGTAAATAGAGCGCCACGTAAACGAAGGTTGTAACGACCATATTAAAGAAAATCCCAAAGTGCTGTAATGAGTTTATCTTGCCACGCTCATGGATTAAAAAGTTAGAAATGAAACAAAGCTATTACAGCTAGCTCTGTACCGAAATCGCCAAAAAACCCAAAATCAAAAATTAAACCAAAGAGTTGTAATCGAAATTTTTGCTCACGTTCGCTATTAAATAAACACGAAAGTCGATGCGCGTAATGAGTGTATTTTTAATTGGTTTCATATACCAATACATGTTTGTATAATACCACGTGGAAAGCTATTTGTGACGTATATTTGCTGCGACCTCCAAAATCACGTGCGCATGACTAAACATTGCTCACTTCAGAAAATATCCCCGATGATGCAGTCAGGCAGAGACCTGTGCATGTTTATATAAGGACAAATAAGTGACCATTGAACCACTCTACCTTTGATAATCACCTTGACAAGAAGTTATGTTTTTATTTTATTTGCATCCAAAGGTCTCATTTGTTGACAATGACATTTCAACAGAACAGTAGACAATCATACATCTACCTCCCAACTGTATTGACCCAATCATAGAGAAGTAGTAATGGTATGTTAAAGATACAGTCCAAGGAAGTATTTATTGGGTTGTAATTTCCAATAAAAGTATGGTAATTTTGGTATCTACATTGAAAGTAGAGACACCCTGAAAAACACCCAAGACAAGAATGTGAGGGTAACCCTAAAGAGCAGCCTGACATAAGGAGAGCTTGTGTTAATCTAGTGGCTAAGATTTTTCAGAACATTTAGAGGATTTGGCTGGGGATAATCCAATGTCAAATCAAGTGAATGGATCAATGGTCCATTGTAAGTGTCAATTGTGCTGTAATGATTCAGGCTAATTCACTCAAAATGAAAACAAACTCGCAATAAAACAGAGAATGGCGATTCTTGACTGTGATAATCTGCCACTTGACGTCATAAGTAAAAACGTCAAAACATTAACAACAATAAGGGTGATAATCTGGATAGAATATCGGAAAAAGCTAAAATGATTAAAATATATGGAATGTAGAAACATCCAATCTTTCTAGAAAAATGCTGGATTCCCTGAAAAACACCCATGGTAGCGTTAGTGAGCGCTTGATGCATATGTTGATAAACTTGATGGTACAACAGTTTCTGAGTTAAAAACCACGGAAAAAGACTTGAGCAGTGGATAATCCAAGAATTTTTTGGGCTTCGATATTTATAATAAATAGTCAGCGATTAAAGACAACATTGTCTTCAGGGATGGGATTTCGCCCTTATATTCTGGACTTGTCTGGCGCTATTTTCCAAATGCCAAAAATTGTCCGACCAGGAATATGCCCAATCGGACTTCAAGACATGGTGAATGATATTCAAAATTCCAAAATTAATATAGTTTACTGAGTATATAACTACCACTCAATCCGATTATCGTTGATAATATGCTGGATTGATTAGGTAATTAAGTGATCAACGTATTTATCGTCTTGTACCGCCTATACACCTACCTTGATCAACTAGTTCTGTCTTAATCCTTTATCGGACAATTCATCAATCCAATCCTGGACAGAAGTCATTGCTTCTCCTTTGTCGGGATATGTATCAATCGAATAAGAGTGATTATAAACTTAATCTACGTGATTGACTCATGATTTCCCCATTGTCAGATGCTTTAATATCCTTGATGTCCAGAGATCATTAGGACCCAAGACGCGTTAGCGTCGCGGGTTCTTATGTAAAATCTCAGGACATGTCTATTGGACAATAACACCCCTCTAAATGCGAAACAGGAGGTGTTTATCGACATTGTAACATGCTATTTTTTAGAATTTTTAAAGAACTTATTTTATTGTGTAAACTTCAAAATTCGTCTTACTGCAAATCGGTTATAGTGACGTAAAAACCAAAGAAATTAATTTTGACGTAATGAAAACGTCGTGACATAGAGGGGTAACTGGCTGCTCATGTTAGATTTGGCTCGCTTATCGCCTGGTTGCTATAGAAGCCGTATGAATATAGACATACAAAAAAACCCATAAAATTCTCACTTCATTTTTTTAAAAGTAGTTTTTGAAACAAAATTTATGTTTCTGTAATAGATTTTTTTATATTTTGTTGTTTGTAGCTGTTACCTGACAAGGGGGTTGGCGTTTCAAGTTCATCTTCGGGCATATCTCCAAATATTTCATCTAATGTACCGAGATCAAAATTGCTTGTCTCCATTGTGGTTATCGCCATTAAAGTAGTACGCATAATATTAATACGCAGTGATTTTTCTAATTTAGAGGGGTGTTATTGTCCAATAGACAGTGTCTAATCAACCAATCAAAACGCAAGATTCACCCTTAAGCATGTTACAATTAGGAGATAAACACCTCCTGTTTCGCATTTAGAGGGGTGTTATTGTCCAATAGACATGTCCTGAGATCATTAGGCGTTTTTGTGAACCGATTAGATTAGACCGATTAGCTATTATACTCATTTGTGAACCAAGTTGATTATGCTAATCGTTACATTTGTGAGACGATTTAACTCAACTGATTAGGCAAATCGACCTAATCGTCCCAGGAGGTGTTTAGGCGATTAGATTTGACGTAACTATTCTACTGTATTTTGTATTATTGAAAAGTGTATTCTGTATTTTAACACCGTGGCATTGGTATTGTTGAGCAATGGAAATTGCAAATTGTAAAACTAAAATATGTATTTTGAACTACTGAACTATTTAATGAAAAAAAGACATACAGACTGAAAGCGTCAAAAGCTCTTAAAAACTGTCTAGATAAAGAAAACCTACAAAATAAAGCTTGTTCCACGATTTGTACCCGAAAAGCTGACGGATTTACATTAGGGATCAAACTAGTCGGATTCCGTTTGTTACATAATTGCCATCCGTCGGCTTTTCGGGTAGAAATCATGGAATAAGCTTTATTTTGTAGGTTTTGATGTTTGATTACAAAAAAACAATGTTGACATGTTTCTGAGTAGGTCTTCATAGTATGGGAGGCCATTATTTGAGGGTAGCCATTTTGTGATAATATTCCAACTTATTTTATTATTTTCACCTTATTTATAATGTTATCGACATATCAACTGTGATTTGGCAATGTATTAATATTGGCAGGGTTCATGACTATACTTCAGATTGTTTTCCATCATTTCAGTATGATATTTCCAAGATGGCGACCATTTTTGGCGGGAAAATCGGACGCTGTGCTGATTTCGATTAAGTAGTAGTGCTTGGTGTCAATACATATGTTTTCGGGGCCACAGATTCCATTCCTGACATTTACAACCTTGTAAAATGATCACATGTTCACATACTTAGCATATTACCAAGATGGCGGGCATTTTTGGCGGGAAAATAAGACGATGTGCTGATATTGATTAAGTAGTCGTCGTTGGTGTCAATATATATATTTTCAAGG